TAATGTCTTCTTCTTCATGATTCCACATCCAAGGACCACCGTTCTTCATCTCTCAAGTGGCAGAGCACAAAACAATGTCCACCCTCCAGTCAACCACACCCTGAACCCTCACCCTAAGCATCATCTTCCTCTTCTCCAAATACAACGCCAATGACATAGCAACACCCTCCATAGCTGTTGCTGCTTCTTGACCTCTCACGAATCCAGCAGCCGTAATTTGGTCACAACTCCATTATCGACGACCTTTGAATCAGATTTTTTTTAACTCATTTTCGTCGCCATCGGAAAAAAAATGTTTAGCTCCGATTTTGAAAATTCTGAGTCTCGTTTGAGATCCAGTACACTTTTGGTTCGAATTGGTTGAGGTTTGTTGAGGTTTATCGGTGCAGTTCATGTTTCCTACGAAATTTCTTTGTTAGCTTTGAAAATTGGCTCTCGTGAGGTGTAATTCTTAACTCTCTTCATTCATAACGATTGATTGAAATATCTGCTCGGTGTTGTGTTTACACTTATTTGATTTTATTTGGTTTAAGAAAATTAGTTTACTACTTAAGTTAATCACTTCTCTTCTTAAGGAGGTTGGGTCATAATTGTTGAAAACACATAACCTTGTGATTTATTTGATCACGTAGCTGGAGTTGGGGGGTATTTCTAATGAAAATCTAGACTTGTGGATTTCGCTGATTAGTATAGGGGTTGAATTTGTCCAAAAGGTTCTCAATAATAAGCTCGAAGGCACGAAGACGAGTATTTTTGCCAAGCAGCTGTCTTTTTACTTGTTTGAGCCATTTGCTACAAAAAAGATAGGTGTTTCATTACAATTCTTAAGGGATTTGTTACGATAGTCCAATATGTTTCAAGGGATGCATTGATACGTCATGGTGATGAGCCTATGGTTAGTGAAGAATTGGAGTTACATAGCGCAGTTCTTGATTGCATATCCTTAGTGTTCTCACCTCATGGGGATAATATTCTTAAAATCAGATTTGGCCTCTGCTTTCATATTATGCTTGGATTTAATGGCCATTGTGTTTGGTTCTAATTTAGTAATTTGATAGTTAGGAGCATGTTATGTCCATTAATATCATATAACTGCCCTCTTTTAGTAGTCCGTAAATAGTTTTTTTAATATTCATGAAACACCGTAGCTTGCTTTAGGCGCGATTAATAATAAATCATCACGACTACATGTACGGGTCCCGTGGCATAGTTGTGATACCTAATTTCAAATTAATTTTAAATATGAACCTCTTTAGTTTGCTTTAGTAAAATACAAATCTGTTAAAATAATTTGAGGCATGCCATGCCAAATAAAACCTGTAATTCATGGCCCTCATAAGATTAGATTCGGGAACTAACACTTATAGAAAAAGGTTTGAGGTGTGCCATGCCAAATAAAACCCTTAAGCTCATCGCCCTCATTTAATTAATTTTAACTCTTTAGAATAGGATTATTTCTCTGAAAATTAGATCTAGAAAGGGCTCCGTTTCTCCGTTTTGCTTTTTGCTTTTGCTTAAAGTACCAATTATGGGTATGTATCTCGTCTGATCCATTTCAGACGTTAGGACCATTTTGAAAAATCACTAAATGAAAAAAATGTTAGAATAAGATTAATGTAATCCCAAAAATTCATCTCATACTTTTGTTTTAGTAGCCTCTTTGTTAATTAATTTCACATTGACTTAGCTTAATAACAATGAAGTTATCCTCAAAGGTTTAAAGTGTAAAAATGCGTCCCTTTATTAGTAAATGGTGTAAATAATAAAAAGCACACTCCCTAGTTCACCTTCACTTCCCATAGTCATGCCTTACTTCAATTATAAAACTCGAAAAATAATTAATTCATAAACACCGTAGTTTGCTTTACGCGAGATTGTTAATAAATTATTGTGGCTATGGGTACGGTTCTCGTGACATAGTTATGATACCCAATTCCCTAATTCGGGGGTGCATTTCATGTGACTCGATCATAACGACTTCAAATAATAATAAAATAAATATGTCGCGAATCGCGGCTGCATTTCATGTAGCGTGGTTCGCGGTGTGTGCCAAAACGGCAAGTGTACGACAATCGTAACTTGTTCAAGAAATAATTTCATAAATCCTAAAAGTGCTTTAAATAATTAAAAAGCGGTTATAAAAGCTAAAAATGACAATAAGTTTAAACGTGTAATAAATCAGATAATTAGGCCAATTTTAATAGTTTAAGCGACCGTGCTAGAACCACGGAACCCGGGAATGCCTAACACCTTCTCCCGGGTTAACAGAATTCCTTATTCAGAATTTCTGGTTCACAAACTTCAAAAGGAAAGTCGAAATTTCCTCGATTTGGGATTTAAAATAAACTGGTGACTTGAGACATCAATTAAAATATTCCAAGTGGCGACTCTGAATTTTAAATTAAATAATCCCGTTTCGATTGTCAATTAAATTGGAAAAACTCCCCTATCCCCTTCTCGAGGTGGTAAAAAGGAGGTGTGACAATTATTATTATAAAATATTGCATATATTGTCTTAAAATTGTCAAATAGTTTATTTTTCGACATCATACTTGGCTTAACCTCAATGCAAACTACTCAAATTGCATTCCAATTCAAATTTGAATATCATATCAGTTTGTTAGTAATAATTTTTTAAAAATGACACATAATGTAAATTAAAAAAAATATTGAAAGATATCCTTATCTTATAATTTATGTACTTGAGTTGAAAAAACTATATTTGAAATCGTTGTGATTAACTTTCAAATTTATTTATACTCAACAAAGATGAAACATAAGAAGAAATTTGTTGTCATCTTTTATTTCTCGTTTTTAGATCTTTCTAACATTATTTTCAATATTTATTTTCTTTTATCTTGTTTTTTATGTCATTATTTCTTTTGTTACAAAAAATTAATTTCTTTCACTATAAAAGGATGAGTTTTAAATTTTTTTTATCTACATATGAACTTTAATTAAATTTTTAGTCTTTGGTTGAAATTATTTCATATTTTTCTTTTGGCTTTATCTAATCAGCCTAAATAGGTGCTCACCCGACCAGTTATATTAAAAATTTGAATGATGTGTAATTTATATATAATCCATATATAATATGTGTGTAATCGTGTGTTGTCGATATATCATCTATTTATATTAGCTATAAAAAGTAAACAATAAATATGGCCGAATATTATGTAAATATTCCATAAGATTTCGGTTTCTTGAGTTTATCCATGATATAACTTCTATTATAATAATTTTAAAACTCTCTATTAATGTTCAAAAATATCTTATCTTTTTATTATCTTTGAATTAAAAAAATAAAGAGTTTTTTCGAAATAATTTGTTTACATTTTTAAAAAAAATATTTCACGTCATACCAATTTTTTCTTTATATATACTCTTTGCTACACTTAAAAGCCGCTATAGAAACTATCAAATAAAAACCAATTTATCTCTTGTTGAGTTTGAAAAAAAAATCTTTCACATAATCTAATGATTAAAAACTAATATTCTTCAACGGAAAAATATTATACCCTTGCAATATTGGCTTGACTATAGCTTAATGAAGGGGTTTCAGCTTATACCCTTCAATTCCTTGAATATGCTAAATTGAAATTAATGATAGCAATTGTATAGCCAAAGTTACGTTATTTGTTTGATGTCCATTTATGCAAATTGACTCTTCAAACAAATATTCTTTAAGAAGAAAAAAGAAACAACTTTTGTTTTAATATTGACTGATGTTTTTTTCTCCAGCATGTATGTTTACTTTATTATATATGTAAGTAAACTTTTATTTGGTTTTGTAAACTTTTTTGTTATTTAGATAAACATAGATGTGTGTCCTATATATTACATTTATTTTAAAAGAATTTCGTTTTATTCAAATCTAGCTACAGTGTTTCAAAGAACTATACTTATAGGATTTTAAATGTGAAAGAGTTTTATAGTTATATGGAGTAGTTTTTTTCTTTTGCTAGAGGCGAAGTGGTATTTAAATAATTATAAAAAATAACAAAAGTTCCTAACATGATTGCATATGATCATTAACCGATGATAACATGATAAAAAAGATAAATTTTATTTTTATTTAAATTTAAATTTTAGAACTTTATCTATAAATTCAAAATTGTCTTTTAATTCAAATTTCGTATATATATATATATATATATTTAAAATAGTCAAATGTAGAATAGAGTTATCATATACTATTAACATTTATTAGCTTGTTACTTCTGGTATCTTTCTTGCTTTAAAATATATATAGATATATATATAGATATAGATATTTGTCCGCTACATTGTAAAAAGGATTTTAGGCAACTCGGTTTCTAGTTTCTAGTTTATTTCACTGTGCTACACACTTGCTAGTCTTTTCTGCGTGCGTGGCTTTGGGCCAAAATAGAGGCTTATTCATATTCAACGGAGACGATACTGGGGTTCTCGAAGAAGTAAGGCGGAGAACATGAATCAAAGGGCAGGAGGAAGAGGGAGGCCGTCCGGAACCGATGGCTCTGATTTCTCCTACCGCATGGTCGTCGATTCCAGTATACTTTCCCCCTTTTCCATTTTCCCAACTTCTTTTCTCGCTCTCTCTTAATTATTTTAAAAAAACATTTTGGTAGGATACACGAAAGTTGCAAAGGCAAAGTATCGTCTTGCCAAATTGATCTTCGCTCAGGTTTGTTAGATTGAATTTCTGTTATTATTGCATAAACTTCGAATTGGTTTTTTCAAGGCTATTTTTCTGATGTTGAGAAATGGTTAAAATAAGCTGATTTAGTTAGTTGCTCGTTAAGATATTACTAATTCAACATCAAGATCTTGACTTGAATTGTGCCACCGTTAATGTAGTATCTTTATGGAGTGGTTTATAAACTTGTATCATGTACTGCAGGCAGTCACTCAATTGATGATAGCAGCTAATGTATTTATTTCATTGTCAAAGAAGGAGTCTCGTGATAGAGTTTCTATTTTTTCCCTTGCAATTGGCTTGGTGTCTATTCTGGCAGGGGAACTAGGTTTGCTACTGGATCTCATTGACCTAATTATTTGATTTTTCACCTTTTAATGAGACATTTTCTCTTGTTATATTTAGGTCGAAAGAGAAGTAGATCCAATTTTTTGAAGTTTTATGTCTTTGGGTCATCCATGGCGATCCTGCTGTCAGTGGCATATCTTGCTATGAGCAATCTCTCATTGGAGGTATGGTAATGTGTTAATTCATTTAACACATTCTGATGAGAAAATTGATGTTACTAGTTGTTGTTACAGATAAAAAGTTATCTATGACGTTCTATTTTTTGTTCTATTAATTTTTGTGGAGTGGTATAATTTATTCTTTTTGATGTACTTCTTGATGTACTTCTTGATGATGTTTCTGGCATTTCATTATTTATTCGTTTTGATGTGCTTAATCTTTCTTTTACTATTTCTAAATCTTCATCCATGTCTATTTCTGTATAACTGTAATCATTGTTGTCTATAACTGATACTATTCTTTCGAATGGATTTTCTATTTTTATTTTATTTATTTTATTTTTAGCTGTTATCTTATGTTTTGTTGTTAAGACATATAGATTTTTACATCTTGCTGTGAATATTTTACTTCCTGGTGCTAATTCTATTCCAGACATTTTCCAGTATAATACTAATGATTTATCTATATTTTTATCATCTACTGCTACTGAATAGTTAGCACTTACTATAAATTTAAATTTTTGGTATATTAAGTTACCTCTTACAGCACTTATTATACTCTTTTCTATAGGTTGTACAATCCTATCATCTGCCAAGTATATTTCTATAGGGGTATCTATTCCTTCNACAAGAATGTTATTGCAGACTACCTATCAAGACAAAGGTACCCAAACAGATGAAAGCCAAGAATCAAAAGACATATTTACAATCCTTACTACTCTATCCTTACAGATGGAGAGTATGGGAAAAAGATTACAACAGCTAGAAAGTCAGCAGCATGACTATAAAAATGCGGAGCTAAGTCAATCGGAAGACTCTAAACTTCCAGAGGTAGAAGGAGACGTTGGGAAACTCCAAAAAACCCATAACAAAGTTGCTTTATATACAGCTGCAGGTACAAGCAAACAAGTTAGCAAAAAGCCACATATCAATGTAAACCTACACAGAGTTGAGGCGCTGTTCTTTACATCAAAAAAGCCAAGAGAAGCAATAGTTATAGCCCCACAAACTTCAACCTATGCTAATAGCCTACACCACAACAAAAAGGTATATAACCATATTACTCAAACATATATTGAGAATATATATAAAATCCAGACATTTCTGAACCTAAACCCTAGATCAAC